AAGCCTGAACCCGAACCCTAAACCCTAACCCCATCGAAACCGTAGACCCCAAACCCACAAACCGCTAACCCCTATCCCCTAACCCCTAAACCCTAAACCCTAAACCCTAAACCCTAAACCCTAAACCCTAAACGTTCATCTGGCTCTTCAGTTCAGGTTCTTGATGGCATCGCCCAGCTCCTGGGCCCGCAGCCTTGCAATCGAACACTCCTGGCCTCGAGCCCCAGGGGATGCTTTCGGTTGTCGGGTTTAGGGTTTAGGGTTTAGGGTTGAGGGTTTAGGGCCGTTTGGGGTTTCGGTTTTTGGGTTCGGGGAATAGGGGTGAGGGTTTGGGATTAGGGTGGTTTAGGGTTTAGGGATTAGGGTGGTTTATAGGGTTTAGGGATTCGGGTAGTTTAGGGTTTAGGGCCGGGTCTAGGGATTAGGGTTTAGGGTTCAGGGATGAGGGTACCTTGGGGATTAGGGCTTAGGCCTCCCATGGACTCATGGGCTCCTCGGATCTTTTCTTGACTGAGGCCTGGCAAAAGCTGCTTCTGAGGCAGCACCAGGAGTACTATGAGGCTCCTCTTAGTGTTTAGGGTTTAGGGTTTAGGGTATAGGGTTTAGGGTTTAGGGTTTAGGCCCTCCCGCAAATCACCTTAGGGTTGAGGGGTTTGGGGTGTTGTCGGCGGCCGTGGCATGCTGAAGCGTCTATTCTATCCCTTTTTGCAGCAAAGCTTTGCTGTTCTCGGCCTGGGAAGCAACTACTAAATAAAGTGCCAAGTCCGCAACAGGCAAGCTTCAGGCTCGATGACTTCTTCGACGAGGAGTTGACAGCACCATTGGCTCTGCGCAGGGGTGGCGGGTGGCTATAGAGCTGGCAGTTGCTCAATGGATGCTCTTGGGACCGTGAGAAGTGTGTTACGAGCCTGGCTCTAGCCATGCATGTGCCACAAAGCTCAGAAAGCAGTTGAGGATACCATGGTTAGGCAATGCAGGGTTTCGATAGCATGCAAGCATTTGCAAAACGGGACTGAAAAAACGTCGGCATAATCCACATCGTTATCACAGTAATTGTTGAGGGCAGCATCAAACCCTCAAGCGAAGAAAGCACAAGGCAGAAGAATCACCTTGAAGCCCAGGATAGATCTCAAATCTCAGCATAGGCCTCTTGACAATCGAGAGTTGCTCGGTTTTGGGCTTGTTGCGATTCCTTCCTACTTCTGGAGGAGTCTTTGATAGGTCCTCGGCTTTGACGTAGCATCGCCCTTTGAGTTGCCGCAACGTAGCTCGAAGAGTCTACTGTAGGCAGCGCTGTTCTCATGGTCGCTCGAAAGAAGGGCAGGGCTGCGGCCCAAAGCAAGGGCGATGTGGTGATGACTCCTGCGGGCCAGGACTGAATCGGTGAGAGCATCCCAGCCTCTTCCAGTGCTGTAAGTGGTCATCTGGAATCTTGCGAGGATGCAAAAGTCAAAAAGACAATCAACAAGAGTGTCTCAGCTGAAGATGGCCACACCACGCCTCGGAAAGTTGCAATGGTGGACATAGCCCCCCCGTGGCGCTCGCAGCAATTTCCCATCAGAAGTCCTGCATTGACCGGCGCTCCTGGCTTCCATGATGGCAGTTCCTGTCAGTTAGCTTCGTCTTTGGTCTCCCCTTCATAGCCCTAAACCCTAAACCCTAAACCCGTTCTTAGACACGTGGAGCTCGAAACTCAAAGTCGTCGGACCCATGAAACCAGGCCGCCGGCGCAAGGCGACAGCGTCTCAAGCCAAGGCGGCTCCCGAATCCAGGCCTGAGGGATCCTTAAAAGGCATACTATAAGGGCTACTATGTGGGGGTGTCCGAAAATAGGGGACCCTAATATAGTACCCTAAATAGTAGGATCCTTATTATAAGGACCCCAAAATAAGGTACCCCTTGTTTTCGGAAACTCCCATGTGTTTAGGGGGCCTTCATAGTTGGACTAGGGTTCATGTCACGTGTTCTTTTGTATTCGTGGCTTTTCAATGCATTGTGGTCGCTAGGCCGCTAGGACCGCCAGGAGCTTTCCGTCCTAAATGGTCAAGTCTGGGAGCTTATGCAATTGGGTAGTTGTCAAAATTAGGGTCCCTTTGGTGCCGCATTATAATAAGGACCCAAAAAGGGACCATCATTTTGACAACCACCCAATTGTCACGTTTGCGGATGAAGATGCAGTGAGTATGCTTAGTGTAGGTCGGAGGATCGAGACAGATAGCCCCCGCTTGAAGTCTGCACATGTCACATGGCGCAGAGCATCCAGCCACCCAGCCCAAAACTCTGCGTCAAGTGCATGGCTTTCCTGACTTGCACCGGAGGAAGCAGCGGCGCAGCTCCGCTGCATTGGTGTTTTGTGATGCAAGTGCCTACATTGAGAAGGTCAGGATCGTGTGCATCAATGAGCATGGTGCTACGGCACATGCTCCCCATCACTGCAACCCGCCTCCCCGACCCCAAACCATCTCATCTGTCAAGAATGTACACAGCTTGCAATTATAAGCATCAAGAGCCAGTGTAGGGCAGTAGCACAGGAAGCAAGGGACCCAATGGAGACCATAGGTAACAGGATCCTGAATTGAAGGACCAGTGTGGTTGTTGATCTGCGATGCGATGTGCCCCTTAAGGAAAAAGGCTGGCCTCTTCAGCCGTTTCAGGCGCGCCTGTGCAATGGAGAGACTTTCCGCGGGCATCTGTGCAGTAAGCCGCCAAGCGCACCTGTGGAACTTATGAACCGAGCATTGCACGAGGCAGGTGAGGGGCGCAAGGGTTTTGCTGACTACTCAGAGCAGTGACGAAAGACTTGTTGTTCTCCAAAAGCATGTCTTGAAGTGGTGACCGCCTGAGCTTTGAGCTTCATGTGACTTCATGTGCCTTGCCGAAGGCGGCGAAAGCGAAGAGGAGACTTGAAAATCGAGGGGCGGCGGCGGAAGGGCTGAAAAAGTTGCTTCGGGCTGCGCTCCTTGTTGCAGGAGCTGCGAAAGCGACAGGCCGAAGAGTGGAAGTCCATGAAGGCTCGCACAAACACGTGTAGATTCAGGCGGACAGGCACGAGGGTGGGAAGATGTCATAGGCGAGTCACGATATGATATGAATCACCTGGACCTCAGCGAACGGGAACTTGGGTCTGAAAGCAGTGCTGACATCTTCTGGTTGCGTAGAAACATGGCTGTACCTCACCATGATCATATCCATGCAGCACTCATGCAATTTCTGCGTCAGCTGCGTCACATTGACCACCCTGATTTGCAAGGCGACTAATTGTGGCTTGGGTGGGGTGATATATCCTAATTTCGATGCTTTCGAAGGGTGCGGTTGAAGCCGCATGTTCGAGGTACAAACCGCTGAAGCTCGAGCTCGTTGTCATCACGATCATCATCATCATCATCATCATCATCCGCATTGTCATCGCGATCATCATCATCATCATCATCACATGTCAGTACGATCATCATCTCATCATCACCACCTTCACCATCACTAGCATCATCACCATCGTCATGATTATCGTTCCCATCATCGTCATCTTCGTCCTCCTCCTCCTCCTCATCATCACCATCATCATCACGATCATCATCATCATCATGATCGTTTTTGTCATCATGATCATCATCATCCTCATCCTCCTCACCATGATCATCATCATCATCATCGATATCATTATAATTACCGTTATCATCATCATCATCATCATCATCATCATCATTATCATCTTCATCCTCATCATCTTCTTCATCATCCTCATCCTCATCACCATCCTCATCTTCATCATCACGTATCATCACGATCATCATCACCATCATCATCACCATCGCCGCTTGGCCATCACCATCGCCATCTCCGTCGTCATGATCATCGTCATGTCTGGGGGACCTCTCACTGTTGAATTGCGTCGGGATGCAGGCTTCAGCTACGTAGGTGGTCAGTAAGGGGGAGATTTCAGGATGCGAAAGCGCAAGGTTCGAGGTCTCCCTGAAACCCGGATGACAGCTTCACAGGCGAAAGTGGCAGCTCTGAAGAAGGATCGGCAGAAGCTGCCCACGCGAGGCCGCGCTGCTCTGCTCTGCTGTGCTCGTCAGCCATGACTACAGTAGTGACTGCAGTAGCAATAGAAAAGGAGTTGTTGGGGTGATCTGCAGTTCCAAAGTGAGATGCCTGCAAACATGGGGAGTTCCGTGAAGGCAGCAAGGAGAAGCGGCAGACCTTGAACCAAGACATCCGCCGACTGCAGGAAGACATGCAGGCGGGAGCGTGGGTAAGGAAGGGGTCAGTTTGCTTCGGGTCATAGGGTCCGGGATATCTCCTAGGGATCAACGAAGCCGCGAGACGCGCCTTGCACAGGTGAGGCATCTGGCGGAGCTCCGTGCTGCGGGTCTCGAAGCGACCACGAAGGTGCTCGGTGGGAGCTTTTCCGGGACCTGGATCTGTTACATCGCGGGTTCACACATTCTGTAGCCCATAGGCCCAAAACCACAAAGCGCACGTGGCCATAGCCGTGCTGTAGCAGGGTGGCAGATTGTGGTGACATAGTCATAGTCATAGCACCGGCCCGAGCACGCCCGGTGCAGGAAGACATGGAGCTCTGAGTACTGCCAAAGTGCGGCAACGAGCCCCCTTGCGACACAAAGCCGGCGAGCGCCGAGACGAAAGAAAGCGTTGCTTGTGCGAAAAACGAGGTGACCGTGGCAGGACATGGCTTGGTTGTCTGCACCGCGAACCCAAACCTTGGGAAGGAGTTGTTGAACCTCGACGAAGCCGACGCTGAGAGTGCAGAGGCCAGAAGAACAGCAGACTTGGGCCGCTGTAGTGCCCAACAGCGGGAAGGGAATGGAGCTATGCTGTCCTTGACGCGGCTGCCACCAGGCGAAGCTCATTCGTGAAGAGCTCGAAGGCCACAGTTCCTCTTGCAGTGACAGCTTGCCGCCTTGTCCACACAAGGCATCACAAGGCTTGTTGTTCTGCTGTTTGGGAAACCCTAAACCCTTAACCCTAAACCCTAAGCCCTAAACCCTAAGCCCTAAACCCTAAACCGTGCCATGGAGGTCTTAATCTAAGCGACTTGTTCGCCGATGTCGAGGAGGCTGGGTCCTGCCCATGCCATTTTGTCTCGAGATCTGGGAGTTTCAGAAAGTTAGGGTACCCCAAAATACCTTATAATAGGGATCCTATTATTTAGGGTACTATATTAGGGTCCCCTATTTTCGGAAACCCCCATCTGGTAAAGACGCATGGCCACCCTCACGTCAGGCCACAACGGGGTCGCAACCCGGCCCGGTCCTTGGTAGATCCGATCCAGCTGGGCTTTGCTTTGATGAGCTTGCAGGCGAATGGGGCGATGATGAGACGATGACGACTCCGTTCATGTGGGATTATCCGGAAGAGTCCTCGCTGCCGGACCGGAGACCGAGCACGAATTGCAGGATGGCCTTCTTTAAAGCAGCGTGGTCAGTACTTGGGAGGATCCCCCCATGGAGCAAGCTCGACCGGAAGGCCGAGCCGGAGCCACACAAGCTTTATAAGCTTCAAGAGGGTGCCTTTCTGCTAGAGCACAGCTCATGGAGGAAATCGGATTTCGGGAAGTGCAGCCTTCAGGGGGATCCGGCATGCAGCTGGGAAGCGAAGTGCACAGTTTCCTGGACTTTGCAATGCCTCAACCCGGGACTCCGTGCCCGTCTGCCTCAAGTGCTTGCTGTCGGCGGAGTGTTTTTCCGTGCGTGTTTACTGCTACTATTCCTCGTCCTCCTACTGACTGTTGCCGCTAGTACTACCACTGCCACGACCAACATCCTGCCCCAAGCCCTGACCCTACCACTACCCCTCCCATTCCCACTAGTACCGCCGACGACTGCTACTGCTACTGCTACTGCTGCTGCTACTGCTGCTGCTACTGCTGCTCAAAAGGCAAGTATGATTACCGGAGTATCATTTTCTTGGTATCCATTAGTATCTCCACCAGTTCCCATGTTTTTTGCCATCCTACCTCAATCCGAAACCTTATCGTCAGAAGGGTACCTCAAGTGGGAGTTTCCGGAAATAGGGGACCCTAATATAGTACCCCAAATAATAGGATCCTTATTATAAGGACCCCAAAATAAGGTACCCCTAATTTTCGGAATCTCCCAAGTAAAGAACCTCAGCATGATCGCTGAAGTTCACAATTTTTGCAGGACGACATGTCTGCTGTGGACATAAGACTGCGACCGCAGCTCTACTGTGTGCGAACAGTGGGGGCCTCTTTACAGGCGTTTCAGTGCCAGATGGCTGTAGGGTTTGGTTTGGGGTGTCCGGTCGCGAGTGATGTGGAACAAGTTTGCATAACAAGTTTGAGGCAGACCACACAGCAAGCACTTAAACTTGAAAGACTGCAGCAGTACAGCTGTTGCAGGTCCTTTGTTTCGTTGTATTGCTGTGGCCTGCTTAACCATTGTGTTGCTGTGTTCCAAATTTTGGCAGAGACTCATGAAAGATTAGTCAAGAACGCCGTTGTGTGGACGAGCTATGTGGAGAGCCCTTGAAGTAACCACTCTGTGTGTGTGTGTGTGTGCTACAGGTAGCACGAAGCTAGCTAGACAGAACGACGGTTTGAGATGAGGGAGCATGCATGCTGGGTTGGGCTATGCTAGAGATTGATGACAGGTACTGTCCCGCCTCTCGGCGAGCCTGTTGACGAGTTGAAGACCTTGATTGTAACGTGCGCTTGCATAAGCCCAAGTCCGAATGTAGAGATGCGGCGCCATCGAAGCTTACAGAATCTGAGCATTGGGAGAAGGTATGCGACGGAGCACGTTCACAGCTTTGCCCAGTACTCCCTGCCTTTGAATGCACCTCGCCAGCAGTTCTTGCAAGTCGTTGTACCAGTGGATGTTGGCTTCGTCCTAGAGGTTTCTGCTGCCGAGGCAAACTGGGCACGCGCGTTCGGCCACTCTTTCGTCGTCGATGCGCGTGCGCGCGCATCCGGAGGCAGGCCACCTAGAAGACCCTAAAAACCCTAAACCCTAAACCCTAAACCCTAAACCCTAAACCCAAAACCCAAAACCCAAAACCCAAAACCCAAAACCAATACAACTCCTTGGGGTTCCTACTATAAGTTTTAAGTATCGTCTAACATAACCCCTGAAACCGCGTGAACCTTAGGGCTCCCGTGGACTCGGGGTTCGGCCCGGCTGCGAGGCGTTGACGTCAAGAACTCCAAGGTCCTTGTGAAGAAGCACTGGGTCGATCACCCCAAGGTGACCGCAGGAGGCCCAGGTCAAGAAGGGTTTCAAAATGGAGGGTCTAGGCGTGAATCATATCTAGCATGCTGCTAGTTCGGGTCTATGTATGGTCGCTCATTTTTTGGGAGTTCGAGCATCTCCTGCTGTGGCCGGGAAGTCACGACTGTCAGATCAGGCGCCATGCCTGAACCCCAACACTAAACCCGAAACCCTAAACCTTGAACTGCCTTGAACCCAGCCAAAAAGCCCTAAGCAGCCTACGCCCTAAACCCTGTCATGCTTGAGAAAGCTTGGCTGCTCAGGAGGGGTGGGTTCTGTGGATCGGAGCCGATGCTGTCTTGGTCAACTTCGACAGAGACATCCTGAGGCAAGGGGCAACACAGTATGGTATAGTATCTTAAAGTAGTTTTTCGGGTATGTGGCATGTTATAGCATGGTGCATTCTGGTATATGATATGTAGGTGCTCTTTTTTGGAGGACTTGTAACGGAAGCAAGGTGGGGACGCGACCGTGATACCTTATCATAGATCAATTATGGGGTTTAGGCTTTTCGGATTTTGGGTTTAGGGCTTTTGATACCTTTGCGTAGATCAAGAGTATAGGGATGCCTTGCACTGCTTTCATTTATCCTTTACTTGGGCATGGGAGGTGGAAAGTCCGCTTTGCACCGTCAGGCAAACGATTCGCCTATATGCGACCCCCCACACGCAGGCCAGAGCTTTACCATGCAAAGGGGTTGGAAGCGTTTAGGTTGACGACTCGAAGCTGAAGGCGTGTTCATAGCACTTTGGTGACGCCTAAGTTCTGATCCGATGCACATTTCCGTCCCTGGACTCCTGCCCGCGAGATCGCAGGTCATCATCACTCGGGATCCACATGGGAGAGCAGGCGACTCCATGTCTCTCTTCAACGCCGATGTCATCCTCATTCGCAGGCCATGCCACAGAAACACCCTAAACCCCTAAAGCCCTAAACCCCTAAACCCCTAAAACCCTAAACCCCTAAACCCCTAAACCCCTAAACCCCTAAACCCCTAAAGCCCTAAACCCCTAAATCACAGAAACCTCAACCGAGCTTACAAGCTTTCTCGGAAGCTGCTGGTGCCAGGTCCCCATGGAGCTCGCAGTTTCTACAGCGGTGGTGGGACGACGAACGTATGAAAGAGGGCCGTACTGACCAAGAGGTGCTTGAACTCCTCTACGTCGAGGTCCACTGTCGTGGGGCGATCTGGGTTCCATTTCGTGAGCACCAAGGATGCTAATTACCACACAGTTGCAGGCTGGTTGCATGTTAGGTTTTTTTTGGTGGCACTGGACACGTGTGTGTTGGCAATCCTTTCCTGCCAGCGACAAACTCTGCACATTGCTGCTCCGTTTCTGTGCTGATGACCCTGTCCGGAGGATGTACTGGGAGCTCGACAAGCCTTCGTCCTCCTCCCACCCGGAGCACTGAATTCCGCAGCTTGCCTAGAACCTAGAAATGCTAGATCTGAGGGTTTGAAAATCCAGAGTTGAGACTCCCGCAAGATGTACAACTTGGCTTGATCCGTATTCCTGCATGTCACATGCTGAGGGTTCGACCACGGACGTCGTAGCAGCAGCCATGCGAAGCAGGCTAAGCTAAGATTTCTCCCTAAACCCTAAACCCTAAACCCTAAACCCTAAACCCTAAACCCTAAACCCTAAACCCTAAACCCTAAACCCTAAACCCTAAACCCTACTCCGTGCAGGACTCTCTTTCCATCATCGCTGGACCTCCCAGCGAGCAGCCGGTGGTGCATCTGGGAGGCGCCTCAAAGCCCCAAGCCTCAACTATGGCTTTGAAGCTTGATTATTATACTGCTCTCATTTTTTAGTGTCATTATTATTATCATTGGTAGCATTATGGCTATTATTTGAAAACAAAAGTGTTATTCTCGTGGTTGTCACCATGATCACATCGCAGGCCACAGCGACGCTGTGCGGCAGCGTGTTTTCAGCGAAGGGCTGCGGCTGTTGTGCCAGGCCAAAGCTTTGCTCCAGGGCCCTAAACCCTAAACCCTAAACCCTAAACTCTAAACCAGCAAAGCCAGTGCAACATCTGAGATCGGACAGTAGCCCCGTAGCCAGATCCCAGTGATCAAGAAGTGACGCGAATCCTTAGTATAAGATAAGGTAATGTAATATAATGTAGTATGACAGGGTATAAGATAGTATCATGTGTGATGGTATAATTTGTTATATTATTATGTCATTATATCATGTTCTATTCGAGTCTATTATCAGATTGTATAGCCCATTCCTGCTCATACAAAGCTCTTGTCAGGAGCAGCTGGCTTCCCAGACTTTGGAGCTTCGGAGCACCTCGGATTCTATACGAAGTCGCCGGGCCATCCCTGAACCCAAATCCCTAGACTCAAACTTCAGAGCCCGAAACCCTACTCCCTGAAACCCGACACCCTAAACCCTGAAACCCCAAGCCCAGACACGGGCGAGAGAAAAGTGGGTTCAACAAAAAGAGAGAACCCTGAAACCCTAAATCCTGAAGCCGTAAACCCTGAAACCTTAGACCCCGAACCCTGAACCCTGAACCCTGAAGCCCTTGTGGTGCAAGGTGCCTACGTGAAGGCCCTCTGGCAGGAAGTGCAGTCACCCGGCGAGGCATGGGCAAGAAGAGCTTCCGACAAGAGCAGTAATAAAACTAGTAGTAAAATTATAATCATACTACTACGACGACGAATACGACCACGACTACGACTGCTCATAAACATGATAACAATGCGAAAAAATATGCACATACAAATAAGAACAAGAATCAGGGGTTGATGTTAGCAGACTCAAAATGCTTCTTGCCAAGAAGCATGCAGGGCCGCAGCTCTGGACACGTGCATGCCTCGACGCTGGCCGGACATTTCCAGCGCTTGGCATGGCAGCTGGAGGATTGAATCGTGCAGCTGTGGGGGTGTGAACTCGGCTTAACAGAAATACGCAGGTAAATGAATGATCAATTTCTTTGGGCAAATAAAGAAGTAAGTATTAAGCATTAACAGAAAAGAAGTGTATGTGTGTCTATATTTATAGGTACGCATATATTTTGTTTTTTGAGATGATGATGAGCATTGTTATCAACCTGAACCCCTACAGCCTAAACCCCTAAACCCTAAACCCTGAACCCATACGTATTATAGCCGAGCTCCAGGAGTTGCGCCGACCGGAGGAGGCTCTAGCAGTGCAACGCCGCGCTCTGGCGGTGATGGAGCAGGGGTCCTAGCAGTGATATATCATGAGGTAGTATAACAGAACATAAGTTACATATCACAATATAATATAACATAAATCCTATAATATACAACCCAGTGATCAGCTTCATGGTATGGGTTTGGGAGTTCGGATTTTTGTTTTGGGGCCTGGTGAGGCGAGGTATGGCCGCTGAGTTTGCTCAGGCCCAGGCCTGCCTTTCGTGACCAGGGAGCTGGCGATGCCATCCTAAACTGCACACTTTCATTCTGCTTCCGGCCTGCATATGGGAGTTTCCGACAATTAGGGTACCTTATTTTGGGCTCCTTATAAGAAGGATCCTATTATTTAGGGTACTATAGTAGGGTCCCCTATTTTCGGAAACCCCCATATTGTGACAGTCAGTCAGTTATGGTTAGTTATGCCGGACCCCATGCCCGAGCTTGGACGACAAGCTTCAGTGATCAAGTCTGAGACTCTCCCTGGCATCACCGGATTCAAAGCGGCAGCCCAGACATCACAATCATGAAGATGAATCGTCGTATTGTTATCCTTGCAACCATTACAATTGCTACAATCATGATTATGATTACTATGATTACTATTGCTACAATTACTACTGTTATTTGCCTTGCGTTCAGGCAACGGCTCGGATCACAACACCATCAGACACACGAAACGGCGCTGGCCGGCCCCCCGACAGGCGAGGTTGAGGCTAGGACTGCTTCTACGGATCGCTGTGTGCGGTGTGACAGCAGTGCAGCAGAGATTCCAACGTTCCATGCTCTCTACTTCTTCTGCAATCCTGAGGAACTGAAGGAAACAAAGGCAGACTTACATACTCCAAGTCGCAGTCCTTCTTTCCCAACAAAAAAACCTAAACCCGACAAAAATCTACATCCCTAACTAACAAAAAAACCCTAAACCGTCCTAAAATCTACATCCCTAAGTGAGCGAGGGATCGGTCACGTGCAAGAGAGTGACGACTGCCCAAGGCCCAAGGAAAGAACTTATCGGTAAGGTTGTACTTGGAGGTTCATGGGTAGTTATAAGTAGGGTTATAAGTAGGGTAACTATAAGTATCACCCATGTTAGGGGACTTATAACCCGACTTGTAACTACCCATGAACCTCCACGTAGGGGCCTTAATAATTACCTACACTCCTTTGGGGGGGGTTCCTTGTTATAACTGTAGTATAATATACCCCAAAACCATATTCTATTTATTTTGGCCCCTACGTTGTCTACATAGTAGAAAGTGGGCTTCCATAATAGGATTCATTGTTATGGGTATTTGGGACCCTTTGTGACTTTGTAGAACCCTTACAAGATCCCGAAACCCTGAACCCATCTAACCCCCGAGCCCTTATAGACCCCTCACTTGGAGGTTCATGGATAGTTGTAGGTCCCCTAGTATGGGTTATAATTATAAATTATAGTCACCCTACCTATAATCCCCTTTATACCTACCCGTGAACCTCCAAGTACAGGAGCCCTGTACAGGAACCCAAGTTCCTAAGTCCCTAAACCCTTAACCCTAAACCCTAAACCCCTAAACCCTAAACCCTGAACCCTAACCCCTAAACCCCAAACCCTAAGCGCCCCAAATGCATCCAACCCAACCCTAAACCCTAAACGCCCTCCCAACTGGGACCCCTTCTGAACCTTAAGCCCTAAAACTCTCACCCCCCAAGGTTTGGGTTTTAGGGTTTAGGGTTTAGGGTTTAGGGGTTTAGGGGTTTAGGGGTTTAGGGGTTTAGGGGTTTAGGGGTTTAGGGGTTTAGGGGTTTGGGGTTAGGGTTTAGGGTTTACTTAGAGAATCAGGGGACTTAGCAAGTAGGGTTATAGCTGAGGTAACTATACTTATATTTACTTATAACCCCAAGTAAGGGACTTATAACCCTGCTTACTAAGTCCCATGATCCTCCAAGTAGCCCTGAACAAACCCTAAACCCTAAACCCTAAACCCTAAGCCCAAACCCTAGACCCTAAACCCTGTAAGGTTGCTTCTTGAAGCTAGCTGTGACAAAGAACTCATTGACGAGTACGGCCTTTCAACACTGATGTGTCCTTGATCCCAAGGGATCTGGGTTTAGGGGTTTAGGGTTTAGGGTCTTTTTTTGAAAGGGATCTAGTAGGGTATGCTTAAGGGATCTTTGAAGGGTTCCTTTAAAGGGATGTAAAAGGGTTCCTTTCAAAGGATTTCAGGGGGTCTGGGTTTAGGGCTTAGGGGTTTAGGGTTTAGGGTCTATATTCCTTCAAAGGGGATCGAATAGGGTATCTGTCAAAGGATCTATAAGGGTTCCTTGAAGGGATCCATAAGAGATTCTTTGGCGGGATTTCGATTTGTTTTTTCATAAAGGGATCCGTAAGGCTTAAGGGCTTTGGGGGTTTGGGGTTTAGGGGTCTAGTGTTTAGGGTTTAGCCATCAATCATGTCAGAGATTATCGAGGTCCTTGTTGGATACAATGATGTTGCAGTTTTTGCAAGAAAAACCTAATCAGGATCAAAAGTGATCACTTTTACACTAGCCCCAACAGTCCACCAGCAATGGTACACGATGTAGAGCCCTATACTCCCTACACCATGAACCCTTGGGCTTGGGGCCTACTGTAGGGGCCTGAATAATTAGAATAAGGTTTTTTTTGGGGTTCTTATGATAATTAGAGTACAATTCTCCTCACTTCAAACCCTATTCTAATTATTAAGGCTTCTACATTACACCCTCGGTTTTCATGGCCATTTCCGTGCAGGTACGCAGCGCGTCATGGTCAAGCTGAAGTTGCGGAAGTGCTTCTGGGTTCTTGTTAAGGAACTTACTTTAAGTTACCATAATGGGGATCCTTTAACGGATCTATAAGGGTTCCTTCAAGGGTTTAGGGCAAGTTTAGGGCTTAAGGTTTAAGTTACCATAATAAGGGTTTATAGTAAATCATACGGTTTCCTAATCATAGTAACTGAAATTAAGTCCCTTGACAAGAACCCAGGCTTTTGGAGGCTGGTGCTCAGGTGGATTTGTGCAACAAGGACGGCTGGACAGCGCTGATGTTTGCGGCGCGCTGTGGTCATGCTAGAGTTGTAAACGTGCTTCTGGCTGCCAACTCGAAATGGGATTCTTGGTGTTCTTCTGGTTGGCCCTTAGAATTAGAACTTTAACTTTTTGGGTTCCTATATGACTCATAATAAGCAGACGAAAAGTTTAACTTTTTTTGAGGGGTTCAGAAGTCAGCCAAGGATTCGGTGGACAAAGACGGCCGCACAGCGCTGACGATGAGCAGAAATGGGAGGGAAGTGGAGGTTCGGAGTGAGGTTCGGCAATTGCTGCTAGAGGCTGCTTGGGTGGAGGGTCGGGAGACTTAGTAAGTAGGTAAAAAGTAGACTTATAAGTACCCTAAAAGGGACCCTAGTTGGGGTTATAGTAGTTATAAGTCTATAAAATAGCCATTTACTAAGTCCCCCGACCCTCCAAGTGGGCGTGACCTAAAGCTACGGCCTGAGAGCGAAAAATGCAAGGCTGCAGGATTATGACACTTAGGAGCCCAGTAGGTAAACTTTAACCTTTTTGGTATATTAAACCCCCTACAAAAAGAAAAGTTTAAACTTTTTTGGGCCAGGGTACTGGGCTTCAAGGGAAATGAAATCTGTTTAATTAGTGCCTTGCATGTTTTTTAGAAAGGGTTCCCTCAACGGCTCCTTCCCTGAAGGGTTCCTTTAAAGAGTTCCAGGGGTTTAGGGTTTAGGGTTTAGGGTTTGGGGTTTAGGGTTTAGGGTTTAGGGTTTAGGCCTAGATAATTACCTAATTTGTTCTTAGGACTCCTTTTTTAATGGTACCATAAAGGAGCCCAAAACCCAAACCCTACAACCTAAACCCAATTATGAAGGCCGCGGGCAATCGGCAATGGACTCGCTAGGATCTCGAGCAGACTCCCTAAGTCTCTGGGTACCCTTCCCTTCCGGTTCCTTTCGCGGTACTTTTAGGGGTAGGATAAGGGTCCTCTGGGGGGTACTACTTATACTTAGTTAAAGGAAACTACAGGTGGGGAGTTTAGAGTATATAGGGCTTCTAGAAGGCTTCTATACTAAACCCTAAACCTAAACCCTAAACCCTAAGCTCTATAAGGTACATAGACCTTCTATAAGGCTCCTATAACGGCAACTATCCACCTGAAAATGTCCTTGACTTCGTTCTCGAATGCGCAACCTTCAAGCATTCCTGGGCTCCTCTAATAGGGTTTAGGGTTTAGGGGTTGAGGTTTAGGGTGTTATAGTTTAGTTGCAATCTGAAAGTTTAACATTTTATTTCCCTGGCTTATTGGGGAAGTCAGTGTAAGGGTACGACAAGGAGATCATCAGGGTACGATACGGTGTGCAGATAAGGGTGCTATATTTGGAGGAACATGGGACTTAGTAAGTAAGGTTATAAGTGCCCTCATTGAGGTTATGAGTGAATACAAGTATAGTTATCTCAATTATAACCCTACTTGTTAAGTCCCATGATCCTTTAAGTAAACCCTAAACCCTAAACCCAAACCTAAAACCCCAAACTCTAAACCCATAAACCCCTAAACCCTACGTGCTAAGTCCCAAGATCCTTTAAGTAAGGGTACTATGCAATACCGTAAAAGTACTAAACCCTAAAACCTAAATCCCTAAACCCTTAACCCTTAACCTTAAACCCTAAACCCTAAGCGCCAAACCCCTACACCCTAAACCCTAAACGCCTAAACCCTATGTTTGGAGGCTCTACTTTGACGCCTCAGTATATGCAGTATGGGTTTAGGGTTTAGGGGTTTAGGGGTTTAGGGTTTAGGGGTTTAGGGGTTTAGGGGTTTAGGGTTTAGGGTTTAGGCTTTGAGGGTTTAGGATTTAGGCTTTAGGCTTTAGGCTTTAGGGGTTTAGGGTTTAGGGTTTAGGGTTTAGGGTTTTAGGCTTTAGGGTTAAGGGTTTAGCCTTTAGGCTTTAGGCTTCAGGGGTTTAGGGTTTAGGGTTTAGTGTATGGGTAGATGGAGCCTTGGGGACTGCTTCCCCCTATTCTCTGCAGAGCATCGTCCAGATGCGTCCAAAACATGCATTCATGCCATAAGGCTGTAGGGTTTAGGGTTTATGGGGGGTCTCTATATGGGTAGTTCTCTAGATAGGCTTTAGGGTTTAGGGTTTATATGGGTAGTTCTCTAAATTAGGGTCCCTTTTAGGGTCCATTTTATAAGGGTGCCGTACTATGTTGGGGACCTAAAAAGGGGCCCTGATTTAGACAACTACCCATATATGCATTTCTATCTGCATGCCACCCTAGACCCGAAAAGCCCTTATCCATAAAACCAATATCATCGAACACGCAAAAACCCTACAACCCTAAGCTCTGAAGTCTAAACCCTAAAGCCAAACCCAAATGCCTGAAGAGCCTAACACCTTAGCCTCGAAAACCCTAAGCCTGAAAAAGCATTCAACACCCCAACGCCCTGAAAAAGCCTAAACCCTAAACCCTAAACCCTCAACCCCAACGCCCTGAAAACCTCAAAACCTCCAAGCCCTGAATCAGGAAATTGACTCGCTCGGATCGAAGAAGAAGGACCGGCTCCTGGCAGTAACCCTAAGGGTTTAGGGTTTGGAGTTTAAAGGTTTAGGGTTCAGGGTTTAGGTTTCAGGGTTTCGGATTTCGGGTTTAGGGTTTAACCCTAAGCGTCCATGTACCCAAATAGTAGATACTTTGAGCCCAAAGTACCCAAATAGGGACTACTTTAAGGCCTATTCAGGTACCTGGACCCTTAGGGTAACGTAGAAGCCTTAATGATTACCAATAGTTGTTTGGGGGTTCATTATAGTGATGATAGTCTAATGAGCACCGAAAGCCTGTTCTAATTATTAAGGCCCCTACATTGTCTGGGTCATGGGGTTTAGGGTTTGGGGTTTAGGGAGGTGTTAGTTCAAGGGTATAATTTTGCGCCGGAAGAAGTGCTCCTAAGGGTGTCTACAATGGGTGTTTTAACAGGGTGTATAAGAGGTCATCATAGTTATAATATATCACCAAAAATAATGATAGCAGTAGTATTCCCTGGAAGTTCCTATTCTTAGTTACACTGTAACCCAGAAGCTTGTTCTGACATTTTGAGGTTCATGGTTTACGGCTTTGGGGGTTTCGGGGTTCGCTGCATCATGTGTCCAGAGTTTCGGGTTCGCGGGTCTAGGACTTGTTGCCCCAAATAAGTCACTTACAAGCTCACTTGCTTGGCCCCATGATGATCCTAAACGTTCACCTGGCAGGGAAATGACAAAGACCTATTTTTACATCCTAGAGAAACAACGGCAAAATCGTCCCAACACCCTCTTCCAATGATTCAGGCCCTGTATTCACCCCTCCATTGACATTCAATGTAGTTCCAAACCTTCGACAGGTCAAGGTGCTGCCTTGGTGTCACAAGTGCTACGATTGAGGGCCTGCATTTCTGCAGGATCCGGACCCTAAACCCCCTAAACCCCTAAACCCCTAAACCCTAAACCCCTAAACCCAGAGCCCCTAAACCCCTAAACCCCTAAACCCTAAAGCAGGAAGGGCCGGCAGGGGGGTCCTGGTGGTGATGCCCAGGGTGACAGCGCACAGAACACTAGGGTCGATGATGCCTACTTGGAGGATCATGGGACTTACTGTCTTCTTCAGCAACCAGGCCCAAAAAAGTTCAAACTTTTTTGGATAGACCTAATATATAAAGCCAAAAAAATTTAAAGTTCGCCCATGGGCTATCTAAGCTTAGTAAGTAAGGTTGTAAGGCTATAAGTATGTATAAGTATAGCTACCTTAATTATAACCCTAGTTTCTAAGTCCCATGACCCTCTAAGCAGGAGGGGAGCCCACCACTCCGTAATAAAGGTGCCTTAATGGTTAGAATAGGGTTCCTTGAACTTGGTTCTCCAATACCGAACCTTTGCAAGCCTTTTGGGCTCTTAAGATTTAGCAGTAATCTGAAAGTTGAACCTTTGATTTCCCTGGCTTATTGGGGAAGTAAGCTATGACCATGCCGGAGAAAGATGACGAAGAGGACCCTAAGCGCTAAACCGGTGGCTATGAGGAGGACACCGCACCCTAAGCCCTTCCCCATCTCCCGAACCCTACTATAGAGGCCTTCATAATTAGAATAGGGCTTTGGGGGGGATGTTCTACTATAATAATATGAATAGTTATAACAATAATGACAATACTAAGGAACCACCAATACAATATAGGTAATTATCAAGGCCCCTACTTTCAGCCCCACAACCTCAAGCCCCTAAACTCTGAGCCTGGAGCTGTCGTGTTCTCTGTGCTTCTGCTTAGTTCCCCAATACCCAGCTTTTAAGGACCCCTATCCCTGGGGTTTAGGGTATAGGGTTTAGGGTTTTGGGAATACCCTAGTTTTCCAATATCCTTTACACTTTTGGGGTTCTCATAGGTTTCGCAGTAATCTGAAAGTTTAACCGTTTTTTTCCTTGGCTTGTTGGGGAAGTAAGTCAAACCCTAAACCCGTAAAATCCGAAACCCCTAAACCCTAAACCCCCCAAGCTCTAAACCCTGAACCCCTAAACCCTAAACCCTAAACCCAAAGCGCTGTAGACTCTCAACCCTATGTCAACGGCCAGGAGAAGAAGAGGCGGCAGAGTCAGCAAGGACTGGACTGCTGCCGCCACGTGTGCCCTTAAAACATAAACCTACTTGGAGGTTCATGGGCCAAAATAACTAGAATATGGTTTTGGGGTATATTATACTACAATTATATCAAGGAACCCCCCCAAAGGAGTGTAGGTAATTAATTATTAAGGCCCCTACTTGGAGGTTCATGGGTAGTTATAAGTAGGGTTGTAAGTCTCCTAATATGGGTTGTACTTGTAGTTACCCTACTTATAACCCCACTTATAACTGCCCATGAACCTCCAAGTATATGCGCTCTTCAACATCTACTTCGGCCTTAAAGCACCCATATAGGAGCCTGTTTGGGCTTTAGGGTTCGGGGTTTGGGGGGTTTAGGCCTCAGGGGTTGGGTTTTTGGGTGCTGTTTTGATGTTTTTTGGGTTGTGTTGGAGCTTTCTAGACCGGGCGCCTGTCAGGGATCCTTCGAGAGCTCCTTCAGGGCTCCTTTAGGGTTCCTCCTGTAGGGGCTGAGTACCCTATAAGGGTTGCTTAGGAGCCCTATAGGTAAACTTTAAACTTTTTTGGTATATTAAACCCGTACTACCCCTAAACCCTAAATCCTAAACCTTAAACCCTAAACCCTCAAGAAAGTGATAAATAGAAATTGCTTGTTGCTGTTGGCCATCCGGACTTGCTTTTTCGAATAAAC